ATGCGACCCTTATCTTGACCTCTTGCTGCACATCACACGCCATGTCTCCACACGCAACTAACCCTATTATGAGGTTGGGACCCGTTTTTCCCCCTGGTACCCACCGCATTTGAGGTATCCCTTCCTCATTCCCATCTCGTGGCACTTTTGGCTCAGCGACCCACTCAGTTTCTGCGTACCATCCTGTTCTCTTTTTGACTTTCGGCCTTTGACATTATGGACCCCGACTACTACTGGTACCAACAAATGCTGCAGCAGCAACAACTTGCCCAGTCGCAAGTCTCTCAAACATCCCCAGCAACCTATACACCTTCGGCCACAACCTATGGACCCATTTCCCAGGCGTTGCGCACATCCGCCACCGCCCATCCATACCCTGCTACCACGCAGGATTTTCCCCCACCGCCACCTCCCCCCGCATTCAATGCCACCACTCCTACATCACCAGGGCCAGACATGGTGACTCCCCCGCGCACGGCTCCGACCTCTTCGCCATCGCCACCCGTGGGCATTCCTTTCCCGGAGCCCCCCATCCCCGAAACCTGGCGGCAGACCGCAGAACACTGGGATGCAAACGAGTCCGGAGGGCAAAAACCACACCAACACATCCAGCCATCGGCATGGAGCCGCAACCGCTGCTGGATTGCCCACCTTCCAGGTATTTCCCTGGCTGCTGGCGTACCGCGGCACCTCCGACTACACTGCCGGCACCTTATCAAACGGCAAGTACACCAGCTTGGCGCCTACTCGTTCCATTGCCGAATCGGTCTTCCTGACCCACTTGATTCAGCGCATCCGCGAACAGCACATCGATCTGGATGCAACCGCCGAAGCCTTACACCGCACCGCAGGCAAGACCCCTCCATCCAAGACGACCGACGCTAAAGCATTTACGCAACCGCTGATGGGCGTCCTTCTTACCACCATCAGACACCATGCCCCTGCACCCGCAGAAGGCCGTGCCATACTACACACCCGAGAAGCTGAACTTCAGCGCGCCAAAGAAAAACTTCAAGCACGCGGCCTCCAGCTTTCACTACAGCGTCCACCCCTCCGACGCACAGGCCTGCGCCCACGACCGCTTCCCCTAGCACTGCCGCGCCCGCCACTGCAGCCCCACCGCCGCCAGCATCCGCCCCACCGGCGGCTTCCGAACCCTGACCATTGCCCAGGTGCTGCAACCAGACTACCCATCGTTGAAGGATGACGTCCCCACCAAATGGACCGCCCCATACATCAACACCTGGACCAAGCAATTCGACGAGATCATCCAGGAGTCCGCTAACGAGATCCTCAAACTTCTTCAGTCCTCTGGTGCCACTGAAATCCAACTCCAAGAAGCTGCATTCCGCTATGGCATCCCGCTTCTCAAGGTCACCAAAGGGAATCTTCGCAGTTTGCAGCAGCTGGTAGCCATCGGGGCCGCTATGGCTTGTTGACTCGCATTCCTCAGCAGCCGAGGACCAACCCACACACTACTCCACCAGTTACGCACACTCCACAAGGCTTTATCCCACATCCAACACCACGCCCACTATACATCGACCGCGCAGAAGCCATATATGCAGTTGGATTGCTCCACTTGGCCGCTTTATTCTACTATCCATCTCCTACTTTCCGGTCCAAACAATGGCGTTCGCGCCTACAACAGCTTCGTATCCACCCAGACCAGCACACCTTTTCCCAATTCCTTGCTCCAAATTCGGTCTACATCAAACTCTATTTCAACTCCCACGACGCACAAAGATGCTATCACCAACACGGACATTGCTATGTAGGCTCCACTGCCATCGGCATTCCCGGCCGGGAGCACAACCGGCAAGCGAAACTCAAACAACTCTCCAAGAACACACCTATCTCTGCAGAATTATCGCTCCGCTACTGGCACACCACCTGCACCGTCACCCACTTCTTCACTATTCACATTGCCACTTACACCGACTACGACCAGGCCTGGATCCACGAACATCTCTACATCTCACAATGGCAGCCCACACTCAACTGGCCTTACATTTCACAACACTTAAAACTCAAGGCGGAAGGCTGGCAATTCAGCCGGCACCGAGCCCATTTCTTCCCGCGGCTCGCCAACCACTTCCGACTATTCCGACGACTACGCCGCCGCTTGCACACCACCAACCAACCTATCCTTTACGCGTCCCACAAGCTTCACGCACTCACAGTGCTTCGCGACCTGACCATGATCACACCCTCGCTTCCTTCGAAGCTGCGCGTCAATTGCGCTCTGGCAGATACAGTGACCTCGAAATCTACGCCGTTCGCCGTATGGCCACCAGCCTGGAAGAACCCGGACGCAGCCGAGCTACACATCTCATCAACCAGACGCTGAGATATCGCAATCTCACCCCACCCAAGAGCAATCTCCCATTCACCATACCATTTCTTGCCCACACCAGCTTCCAAGCCGACACCCAGCGATGGCTCGCCAAGATCCTCAACCAGCGCAAATCTTTTGCCATCCCCCTTCACCTTCCCACCTGCCGCCTTCGAGAAGCAGCACATCCCACTCTACGCAGCCGTCTCCACAACCACCGCCGATGGGAAGACCACCTTGGGAACCCTCCCCAAGTCGACCAGCTCCCGTGTGGCTGCAACCACCTTCGCAGCCTTCTCTCACCGGACCACCCCACCCCAGAGGATGAACATTTGATCATCACCCTGGCCGACCTACAGCTCCCAACTCATCTTCGTCGCTTCTTGAACGCCAACATGAACAGCACGTTCTTTCCCACCAAACGTTGCTACTGGGACACTTTTCGACTCAACTTCACCAAATGGCTACGCCATAATGGCCTCCCCATCACCTTAGTCCACCACGCCGACTCTTTCCTCACCACACAATGGGCCACCCACCTTTTTCACCTCACACAAGAAGACCGATTCACGGCCAGATCCATCAAACAACTCCAAGAATTTTTGGGCGACAACGTCGTCCTTCATCTCCGCATTTTCTGTCCACACATTTACTTCCGAGGATGCCTAGCCACATGGCAATCACCAGAGCTTTTCCAACCACTGCCAGACGACACGGACCAGACTATTTCCAGCATCATACAACAAACATACCCTGCATCCTTGCGCAAAAAAATACAAATGGGGCTTCATCGCCAACTTCAAAATGCCCTACGGTGTCGTTCACCTGAAGGCCAAGAAGCAATGGAAGAAAGGCCGTACCATCATCTCGTACTTCAAGTCCCATTACGGGCCATGGTTGCGCATCACCTCCAACGTCCTCAACTCCATGATTTATCGGCTTCTACCTCAATTGCCAGGACAACTCTCGATACCACAACTATGGCACCATTTCCACGCCTACATTGATCAAGTTCCAGTCTCTGTGGACCTCTACGCAGTCAACGACGACCTTGTGGGCTTCTTCAACTCCGTCCCTCAAAACAGACTGATCGACGCGGTTCAGAGCCTGGTGAACCGCTGGCAACATACATTCGACACTCCCACCATCACAGTGGACACCCACACCACCGGTGATCCCATCCAACTGGCACACATTGGCCGCCGCCACCGCAAACACCCAACACAACGCACCCTGGACACCAGCGACATTGTTACTATCGTATCCCTGGCTCTAGATTCATGCGTCTTTAAAGCCTGCAATCTCTATTTCCTACAGGTACGTGGGGCCAGGATTGGATCCCAGCTATCTCCTGCGTTGTGCAATGTCGCCATCACGCTGATTGAACACTTATGGCATCAACTACACCATTCCCTCACTGATCACACCGAGATCCACTTCGTCTACTACCGCTACGTTGACAACCGCTTTATAGCCTTCAACCGGACATTCCTCACACACCTTGCCATCCATACCCTTGTCCACCCAGACTTCTATGGCAACCCGGTGGAGCTCGAGCCGGTGGAAGACATGCACCTCCTAGGCTTTGACGTGGACCTTCGTCAACGGACTATCACCTACATACCTCCGGACGCTCCATGGAAAATTCGCGACCAGGCTTCAGCGGGTTCTACACGTCTTCGACTTTCAGGTTTTCATTCCAGAGCCCATCTCATCCGCAAGTACACCTACCCCTCCTCGGCTGTTGAGCGAGCGCTCGCTCAACTCGCAACCTTGTACGTCAAAAAAGGACATGATCTTCATAGCTGTCGACGAGCACAAGAGCACTACGAAAAAGTCCGCACTCCAAGTTACGGATCCCTGTGTGAATCACCTTCCTCCCCTCGCTCCCTGCGGCCGACCACGGCCATCTGTGTGTGTGTCACCGCCTGTCTCCAAGGCTTTCCTCACGACGCACCTACGACAGTTTTGAATCGATTCTTTTTACCTCCCCCAAGTTCCACACTTTTTGTAGCAGGGGGACTGTCTACCCCACAGAAGTAACAGTCCAACGAAGAGGCTTCTGTGGTGGTACTGATATCACTGGGGACGTCCAGTGACGTACTTGCATCAATTTTTAATGTTTGATCGCCACCAGTGTTTAGCAGTAGATGATCCAAAAATTGTTAAACATCTTCAACTCGGCGGACCTTTTCACCTTTCCGTTCTGCATTTTTCCGTTCCATCGAGTCAAGGTCTAATGCGTGTAAAGGGGGACTTCGTCAACTGATTCAGCTCTTGCGAGCAACTATCTATATAAGTGTGTTGCTTTGGACATCTATCCAAAGGGTCCAAATATGTCCAAATCCTTTCACCTCACCAAGCAAACTGGATAGCAACTATTGCAAGATTGCAAGATTGCAAATGACGTTATTCCTTCAGCAGCGTTGCAAGCAAATCTCGTTCTCTTGTGCCTAAAATTGAGAACCTACCCCAAGCCACTTTGAGGAACTTACCCCTTAGGGTGGAGGTCTAGCAGTGGATAATTCACTGGGTAGCTGATTCCATCCCCCAGCCAAAACTTGCTAAAGAGAGTAACTCCAGCTAGCTCAATCTAGCTTTCGTGACTACAGGAATGCGTTGTCTAGTCTCGTTCTTGCAAAAAAACATGCGTCCGTTCTCAAGCCTTCAGAACCGATCTCGGCATCCATCCCAACTGATATGACAATGAGCTCTTCAAGCCCCTTGGCGTTGTCCACGGAATCCAGAATGATGCACTCCTCCTTGCAGTTCTCCACCGTATCTGATGTCACTATGTAAGACAACGACTCCTCAAAGTCAATGAACCGCAAATTCTTGCCAGCAAGCTCATCTTGGTCAGCTGGGTCTGGCTTCCTTGGTGGCAACAGCTGCGCAGGCAGCGGAGGCGGAGGCAGCAGAGGCCGAGGCAGCGGAGCCGACAGCTGCGGAGGCCGAGGCAGCGGAGCCGGGAGCTGTGGCGTTTTGTGTTGGACAAGAAAACTCTTGTGTGTAATTGGGTCGCGCAGCACCTTCTCCAAAACAGGCTTGAACCTGTTGAGAAAATCAGGGTTGGGAACGATGATGGCCACGCAATGATGAAGCCTTAGGTCTGGATATGATGAGATCACATGCCGGAGAGCAGAGATGGTGTACCGGCAATACTCTTGGAATGGTGGCGAAGGCGATGCCGCATCTTCTGGCTCAAACAGGAAGGTCTTCAAAGGTGGACCAGCGCAGCTCGAGGAGCTTTCATCAGTTGGCAACTGCTCGGAAGACTCGGGAGGCAATTGAAAAGATTTTGCACCCAGAACGATTCGGTCGGTGCTGCGAACCACTTGGCTGAGATGTTTTTCCTGAAATTGGATTTCTTTAGGATAGTTTTGCTTCACGGCCCCCGACTGGGATGCGTCCGAGAGGAGGATCCTCTGCTTGGAGCTGTGCAACAAAATCTCTCTAAGCACTCCTTGCTCGACATCTGTGCGAAAAATGTCGTGAGCCTCATCCACAATTGAAAGCACAAACTGAATGTTCGGGCCTTCATCCTTTGCAAGTTCTATTTTATTGCCTTTGAGGCTAGCAGTCATGCAACTGTTGTAGGGAGCATACATGAGCCTAAGCCGTGCAAACTGCTTCACCACATCTGCTTCATCTCCGCCATGCATTGCCACAAACCACTGGAGGAAGTGCAAACACAAGGCCTTCGTGGGAGCGACGAACAATACTTGACCTTCTGAATTTGCGTCCAGCGTCAAAAGAACCTTCCGCACTGCCACGAAGGTCTTGCCTGATCCAGCTGCCGCTGAGAGGTGGAAGTCTCCATCTCCTTCTAGCTCTTTGACCTTCTCCTCTTGATGCGGCGTCAGATCGATGGAGCTCATCAGCACATGCTTGTAGGCCTTCACAAACTCAGTCTTCTCGATGTGCACTCCCGCGCTCAACCGACCGAAGTCATCTCTATCCTGGATTGCAGACTCCAAATGCCCAGACAACACTGCACTGCACAATGCCTTCAGCGCCGCAACGTCTTTGCACTGAAGATCAAACCTCATTGTCAGAACACCATCCTCAAGCCTCTCCTCGCGGGGGCATGTTGCTACAACCTCACCATCTGGAAGAGAAGCACCGAAAGCTTCAGAGAAAATGGTGGCAAACTTCTCCACTGCTTCGCTCTCATGCCGAACACGGTCTGTTGTGAGTACTTGGTTTGTCCGCTGACACCGCACTTTCCACTGCAGGCCATCAACTCCAATGATGACTCCTCTTTTCCATTCATGCCCATCCAAAGCAGCAACTGTGTTGCCAGGAGAAAAGGAGTCCTTGAGAAATTCGGAGACATCAACTTCATCGTAGTCCCATGCAGCACCTTCTAGTTCTCTCATGTCTTCTATAATGGCCACTTCGGCCTTCTGAGACCCGCCGAGACCTCTGTTCTTGGGGTCCGAATCCCAGAGAGACACATTCGGGTCTTGCAAGTCTTTCATCGTCACTTTACCTTTCCCGACCATGCCGGGATAGTATACGACTTTGAGTCGCTGACGTCTTTTCACTGCTTCCTTCATGTGTCCAAACCACACCTTAGCTGCGAGGCCCTCCACGCACTTTCTGATGTTCATGATGTTCATGCCAAAAAACAACAAAACGTGTGCTTAGCGCAGCGGGATGTAGCCAAGTGCAAGAAAGAAACATGAAGCCAAAGGCAACCCCAGGCTGCAACCCGACCACTCTGGTTCCAGCGCCTCTTGGCCTCTCTGATCGCGTGAGTTTTCTCTTCCTCGCTGGCATCCTCCCGAACCAGGACGGCATTCATGGCCTCCGCCACTTTCTGTGCGTTCGCCATCTTCTCACCATAGGGCGCCCCAATCCAATGGATGTATCCAAATCTCGGAACTCACAGGGGGCACAATCCCCCAAAAGAACACACCGTCTTGAGACAAAGTGTAAATGTCAAGCTCTGGGCAGGGATCAGTTACATTCTGAGTCTCCATGAGATCTGTTTGTAATTTGGCTTATTCTAACCACAAGTTGTTTTCTTACATAATTGTGGTTAGCAAACTGTTGGCCGTGTGTCATTCCTAGCATTGGTATAGGCCACTGGTGGGTTGTTGCATTTTCTTGCCAGTAAGTTATCATCATGCCGCATGCCCATGATGCCCCACGCCATTGTCAATCTGTTTCAGCTGGATCTTACCAAGCACTGGTGCAGCCAGTGGTTTTTGGCTTGTAGGCTGTCAAATTTACTGTTCGTACTCAACATGCCATCGCAAAAATTGGTGGTGGATGTCCAAGCAATCCATGGGTTAGTGGGATCTTTCATGTTCATACCACCCCGCTAGTTTGGGAATTTGGGAATTGCCCCGGCGTATGCACCTCTTTGGCCAAAATACAAGCTACTTCCTTCTTGGTACAAATCTATTCCGAAAATTCCTGGAAACTGTGCTATGCTAGGGATTACTAGGGCGCCTTCATAGTTTCAATTTCAATAGAAAAACAAGAAATACTTGGAGTGACCCCCCACCCTCAAATACGATTTGGAAAACATGTGTTGTGACATGTGTTCTGTCACTTATTCTGGCATTTGCTCTAGCATCACGTCTGACAAGTCAAGTGCTCCAATATGTGTTCCGGCATCTATTCTGACATCTGTTTCGCCATTCGTCTGACAAGTCCGCCCACAATTCTTCTGATATGTGTTGTCGATGTGCTCTGGCATGCATTCCGCGTGACGTTCCAAAATGTGTTCTGAGATCTGTTCTGTTCTGACATCAAGTATGCCATGCGTTCTGACAGGATGTTCCCATGTTTGTTCTGACATGCGTTCTGTCGCCTTGTGGCTGCCATTTCTTCGGACAAGTCCAGCGCACAGGGAAGTCCAAGGAAGGAAGTCTGGAGAGGAGGAGGCAGCACTTTCTCAAAATCTAAAGACTCTCATCTCACATCTCGCTTCTTCCCAGTATGAACCTAGTGCACCATACGCTAAAGTTGGAATCAAATCTCGGACATCCCTGAGAGGACAACCTGAACTAATTGAGGTCGGGAGGGTCCTCCGCACATGTGAAGAAGAACTGCTCATCGAGTCATCAACTCATTCGCTGCGATCCAAGGCACGTCTGATAATCTCTGTTCGAATCATTGCCCTCACCGTAGATTCTTCTACAGTAGCAACGTCCTTTGCTATCTTCTGGGTCAGGGTGGTGACTGCCCAAGCCATCCTCTTTCTTGCAAAAGTAGACGCAAGCGACACTCTGATCGCCGAACTCACCGACATCACTGGAGAGCGCCTCGAATCCAGTTTTGAACTTGCCTGGGTAAGATGCATAGCAATACTTAGCTCCGGGTTTGATGCGACCAGCGAACGTTTTGTCCGCCATGTTGCTGAGCACGGACGGCGTCTCCCTCAGCTTGAAAGTGATTCGAAGTGGCAAGCACAAACTAATAGGCTTCTTCATCTTCATGAAGTCTTCCAACTTCTGCTTCTCCTTGAGGAGGAGGGTTTTCACACCTTTTCCCTCAACATCTGTTCTAGTTACTTTCCTCGCGCTGCTTCACCCATCTCCCGTCCCACTAGTGCGCCTTCGGAGAGGCGAAGAGGATGTCCAAGAAGTCTTTCACACCTCAATGAGCCGCTTAATCCGCGCCAATCCAGTCTTCCCGGAAACTAATTGAGATATGTTAGTCAGTTGGTTTTCCAGCCTTTTGGAAGGGATCCTTTTGAATCGTCGCGTCTTCGTGCCTTTTGCTGAACAACATGCCTGACTGCCCAGCCCTGCAAGCCAGGCTTGGCCAAACCCTGCCAAGCTGCGTATCCACGAGCCGTACTCCTAGAACGAACATGAAAGGAAGGCAAAAGACATGCACTTGCACTGGTATAGCTTGGTTTGCCTGTTCAAGCCCCGTTGTTGTGTGTTTGGGTAAACTCGAAGCCGCAAATGGGCCTTTGGCTCCAAGCAGTGTTCGCTTGCCTCGCAACTTGACTTGATGACTAGACATGTTAGTTGCCTTTCACATGCTTGAAATAAACAACAGTGCTGACTGGCTGCCTCCGGCTGTTTCACAAAAACAACCCACACAAACACAATCCACATTAGTTCCCCAGATCAAAACAAATGGGAGCAGCTTGCCCAAGGTTCTTCTCGCACCTTCCCACGCTCTTTTCGCTGTTTCTCCTTGAGGAAGGATTTGGCCTCCTGCAATGTGCACCCCACGGACTGCAGCGAATCGATGCAGCCTTGGGACTTCACACCGCGGTGGACAAGGGATTGAAATGCATTGAAATTGGTTGGCCGCAGAAGCCGTGTTAAGAAAGAACCCCTAGAGTACCCACAACTCCGGTTACATAAACTGAAATGACAAGCACTACTGTAACACGCAGCCCCATGCCCACGCCCATGTGGTTGCACTTCCATGTCCCAATTTTCAAACATTCACTCCAAGGAGCTCTGCCATGGGAGCCATTCTGAGCCTTTCAGCTTGGACTTGAACATCGCCTCCATTCGGCGCCTCAAGTCCTTAGCTGAGCACTGCCGCGCGTGGACGCCTGATTGCACCAAGAAACGATGCAAAAGGTTATGCGGCCAAGGAACTTCTGCCAGAATCTAGTTGGTGATAACCAAGCATCATTAGCAGCAACCATTTTGGAGAAAAACAAAAGCAGAAGCAAAAGGAAAGCAACCCGAATAGAACCCGCAATGCAGGCCCCAAACAACTCCATCTGCTGTATCTCCTTGCAAACCCCTTCTGTCTACTTCCTCTGCCAGGCCACAACCTCTTTTGCAGGGCTTCCTGAGTCCTGCGAATGAAGCTACACGGGGTAAGGGTACACCAAAACGCTTTCCGCCACATAAACGGCTTCATGGCTATCTTTCCCATGGCATACATCTGAAAGACTGTCCTTCCATGTACGTTGCATTTTGCTTTATAGTAAAGCCACGACATGCTGATGATGCCATGATTTTGTGGGAGGAAAGTCCTTCCCCGAGTGGCGATGTAAAACCATCGCACCAGCGCCACCAGACCAATCAGCTGGAACAGAATCGGGATGCAAAGTTTCTATTCCTCTATCGCCCTCGAAATGCTTCTACCTATCAATGGGATAATATTGCCTTCATGATCAGTGGTTCCATAGTTGCATGTTTAGAGGGAATCTATTCAAGAGCTTGGAGATTGATTGCGACTTAGAACTCAAACAACTGCCAAACACGGACAGCCACAATTGTGCTCCGTACCATTTTGTTGAGGAGGAATGAGGAGGACCAGCTTTCAAGGGGAACAGGGTCGATCTGGAAAGCGCCAAAAGTGGTCGATTTGGAACACACTAAAATGTTGATTCCTTCTACTTCTACTGTTGCAATGCTGCGTTCTACGAAGTGCAGAACCTATGACTCTCAACTCTCCACCCACATGTTGCGACATCCAGCCTGCTCAACATGTGTCTTTACATCTTCACCAACTTCTCTGGCCTGGCTCATGCAAGCCCACCGCTCCAAGCAATCACGTGTTCGAAGTCTCCGAGCATGGCTGCAAGCCATTTCATTTGAGCAATGTTGCATGATGCGGACACCTGACCATCACTTTTTGCGGTGAACAGCCAAGTCTGTTGCCCGATACTGAATGCAACTCCATTGCCACATCGGCACCAAACAAACAACATAAAACTTGGGCCGTGGGCCTACAGCACAAAATCTATAGATACCTCACTAGACTAGTGTGTGGAACATTTCAAATAGACCAAATAGAAGATCCAGGCACACCGGCGCATATATCTAGGTGAGTTCTTGATATCATCCTTGTTCTGTGAAGTGCACTACCTTCGGTTCTCTACCTGCCTTTTCCCCAAACCAGCCTGCTCGATATGTTCCTCTTTACCTTCACCAGCTTCTCTTGCCTTGACCCCTTGCCACTCCATGGAATTACTTTGCAATAGCTGAAACAATACACAGACGTAACTATGGGTGATCAGCACTTGTTTACGCTCAAGAATGTGTCCACTGTTGGTCACTTGAGGCAAAATTAGGGGTGGAATGAAAGCTAGCTACAGCAGGAGCTACAGGAGGCATGCAACTGGAGAACAAGGATGGTGGCAACAAATGGAATCCTCATGACTCGTGAAGCCTGGGGGCGAGGAAGCCCCGTGTAGCAGAAAAGGGAGGCCCAAAACAGAGTGACTTAAGAAAAACGGAAACCAAGCGTTCAGCAAAAATGAAGAAAATAACACCTTACTTTGTGATAAGCTCTTGTTATCGTACTAACAATACTAATCTTGTACTTACATGGTTTGCGAAGATTGCGCCGGTGATGAGATCCGGGCCAAAAAGCAATTGAAGGAGGCAGTTGTGAAATGCCAAAGCTGTATAAAGCTGTAGCAGTGACACTTTTCGTTTGAATCAAGGGCCAGGGTGCATGGCAATGAAAAATGATGGAACATGGTGGCTTCAAGGATGCACTAAAAGATTGTGTCTGGCAGCAGCTGGGGCTTGGAGTTGAGTCAAGTGAGCCAAAATGTCGATGATACAAATGTGGGCGATGATGGCATCATGAATAAGCAAAGGACATAAGGACATGCTGGGGCTGAACGCAAGGAGAGCGAAGACCTGAAGGAGTTGAAGCATGATGAGGTTTGGAGAGACGGTAAAAGACCAAAGAATGATAGGAATTGAACGCAATAGGCCAAGAGTTGCATGAAGAGAAAAGGGGGCCTGCAATATGCAACGGCAAAGAGGAACTGACTACGTGACTGCACTGGATCAAAAAGAAACTAACCCGGCAACGGGAGTCAAGAGGATTGAATTATCGCTGCGTTCAGATTGTATTAAACAGAGAGTTGCAGTACATATCAATCCTTTGAACCATTCCGTTTTGTGAAAACTCTATCTCTAGCTTTCATGACAGGGGTCAGCGAAGCTCAGTCCGATCACTAGGCAACACAGTTATTGACTGCATTCAAACAAGAAGTAAGTCACTCCGCGGCGTCAACCCTGCTGAAACTTCGAACAAAAGCTGTCGACATGGCACTCTGTCAGCATTATCACAAAGTGTTTTAAATGCTAGATTTGCGGGGTGGAGATGGCTGGAGCTTGCTGAAGCCCTGACTAGGTGGCGGTTTCTTCTAGCTGTCTAGCCGTTTCTGCCAGCTCTGTGCGCAACTTGGAGATCTTGGGTTTTGTCGCACGCACCGTCGGACCGAAGCACAACAGGTTGAGCTGGGGATGGCATCAGCATGCTGGGATGGAGAACAGCTACACGGAGGTTCATAAATCATAAATGATTTCAAACTGGATTGGAATAGCAGCGAGAGTCTTCCTATGAAACCGGCTGCTCCTTCCTTTTAGATTCACCTTCACAGCAAGGATAGAATCAACCTAAAATGAACCACGTACTGTTGTTCCCTCACCCACAAGCAATGAACCCACATGTAAGAACGCGGACTGAAGCCGCACACACTCCAATGTCTTCGCCCGCTGGGCCTTCTCTTGGGCAGCCGCTTCCGTGAGGCTTTCCGCTTTCGCTGCCGCATGGGCAAACTCATTCTGCCAGTGCTGCTCCCTTTGCTCGAACTGCTGAGCCTGCTGATCTGCACGCTTCTCTGACGCAACAAGAGCTTCTTTCAGCGAGTCGATGACCCCCTGCGCTTCCTTCAAGTCTTTAGCCTGGCGAGAAGCGTCGAAGCGTCTGTTGTGGTCTGTGCCAAGTTGCAACGCTGAGATGCCGGGCCCCATCGTTTTCAGGAAACAATTAAATCAAATCCCAGTTTGCACATCAACTGACCTGGCAAACCAACTCAGTCAAATGAGTCAAATGGGTACCGGGCGTGACAGCTGTCAAACAAGCCAGCGCAAAATAATCGAAACTCTGACATCTCGCCACTCTAGTATAGATCACAATTGGGGCACCTTGTTTCTGAACTCTCCAACAGGACAGTCACCTTTTAGTTACACATGGCTGAAGCCTTCCTGCAGTACGTCTTTCAACCAAGACTTGAACGTCGGGCCAAACAGTTGAAGTTACTAAGTTGCCCTTTGTTCGAGGTATACGTGCTTTGCCGTCAACAGTACGTCGACAAAGAAAACCCTTGCAAAACACAAGTTGTATGCCTTGGCCCCCCAAAAGGCGCCTTTCTCTACCGTGGTTGAAACTTTCAGGCGAAACACAAACATGAGAAAAATGTTCTGAGTTTTGATGTTCTCGGCTGCTTTTTTCCTTTGGGTGACAAGTGCCGCATTTTGGTGTCATGTGTATTGTCACGCATGTATCGGCCCTTGAAAGAGTTTGACTTCTTTATGGTTGGCACATTTTCTATGGCGAAGGATGACTTGTAGTTGCCTCGCCTTTTCCACAAGCTCAGCGCACAACTCGTCCTGCAAGCAACGCTTCGATGTCTTGAATTTTGTCGAACCCATGTAGTGAAACACAATTCAGTTTAGCTGGAATCAGCCGGCTGAGAGACGCTCAACAAAATTCTGGGGGCTCGTCTGGGGCTTGCGGTTGGTGTGGTTCCGGGGGTCGTGTGTGTGGTTGTGCGCGTGTGCGCTAACCCGCAGCCGGTGTAGTCCCGAGGACCACGTATACGACCGTACACGTATACACTAGAAAAAGTATGCCATCTTACATGTGGGGCTCTGGGCCTTGTGATTGGACTATTGGACTGGGGAAAGGGATCTTCCCAAGATTCTAGTTTCTTCCACTAACATAGTATGAGTAAATGATGGTCAAAGCAAAGCAGAAGCCAGCTTGGCTCACACCCCACAGGCACTGCGCTCAGGTGAAACGATCTTGATTTAGTCATGTTCACACCGCACACTCTCCAGTCTCTTCCGCAGTTCTGCCTTCTCTTGCGCAGCCACTTCCGCAAGGCTTTCTGCTTGCGCAAGCTCATTCTGCCAGTGCTGCTCCCTCTGAACGAACAGCTGCGCCTGCTGATCTGCACGCTGTTCTGATGCAGCAAAAGCCTCTTTGAGCGAGTCGATGACCTCCTGTGCTTCCTTCAAGTCTTTAGACAAGCGAGGAGTGTCTGTTGTGGCCTGAACCAATGTCGGAAACAAGAATCGCACAGAACACACCCAATGGCCCAAAAGTCTTGCCACATCTTGCCACCCAAGCAGTCTGGATGCCCACTCTTGCCGTTTTCGACCCAGTGTAACATCAGATGTTCTTTCCGCTGCGTGTCTTGGCAATTCATGCGCACACGTTTTGAACCTCTCGCACTTGAGATGGTTCGCAACTTGATCCATACCCTGCAACAGTACACGTCCCAGCCTGCAAAGCCCCTTCTGGTCTTTGGGCCTGCAAACAAAGGCTGCATAAGGGGAAAGAACCACATGGGCGCTCAAGCAATTCACCTGAAGAAAAATGCAAAATGCGATTTTGGAGATGTTCTTCGCGCTCAGCCCCATAGGGTGCAAACCTCCAGAATGCTGTAGGCACTTCCATTGTATGATATGATTTTTATGCAATGGAAAAGGCCATTATATATATATATAACCCTACTACTTACTGCAGGGGAGTGGAAATGGATTGATGGTGGGGGCAGCTGCCCCAGCTACTTTCTTGTCGCAGATCCAGTGACTTCTAGATGTGCAAATCTTATTCCGACCATCTAGAAAGACCCACGCTTTAAGTGCACACCCTCTGGTGCAGGCATGGGGTTCATTGACGAATACCGATACCTCCCAACCGACGAACACGTAGCAGTCTCAGGTTTTGCTATTTGACTTTTCCACGGAAAGCCTTGTCACTTGTGGCGGATAAGGCCTAAGGCGCCCAAGGGCCAGAAAGGGAAGGACGAAGTCTGAGGTGGATTGGTGGGCTGTTTCTGGTCTCAGACCCATGTCTTCATCTGTCGTCACCTTATGAGACCTTCACAAGCGGCCAGCCCATGCCAGCCCAGGGTCTTTGTTTCCGGGCGCTGGTTCCACAGCATTCACCACTTCATGCTTCTCCCTCCAAGTGACCATCTGATGTCCTACAGACCTGTAAGCATTGCTCAGAGAATCTCAGAGATATTCTAGGCAGTGCTTCTCACACGACCAGGCCGCTTCCAGCTATTTCACATTATTTCAATATCTTTTGGAAGGTTGCCAATGTTCCACAGCAATTGGTAAGGTTCATAATTCTCTGAGCCTCATCCATGTCTCGAATCTTGGGGCTTCTTATACTCAGAGCCTTCGCTATCATTTCTCTCTGCTGCTCTTGCTGTGAAGAGCAAAATTGATCAATCGTCGTTGGTCCCTTTGACTGTCTTTAGTCACTTTGATCGTTGATAAAGAAAAATCTATACATACAATATATCATCTAAGCTCACTCGCCAAATTGTTTCAATTCACCGTATACACCATAGACTGTGTACGCACATCTGCGTGTCTCCCCACCTCAATCTTCATCCTCGTGGCCATCCCACCTTTCGCCCGCTCGCTTTCAGGGTCCTGCATGTGAGGGAACATCGGATATTGAATAAACATGAATGAACATGGTGTTGCGTGTCCAACAGAATCAAAAGCAGAACCCCACGTCAAAGTGGCCCCGTCGGAGTCACAACCGACTGAAGACACGGTTAACACCATACATACATGACATGTGTTCACTCCCCCGTGAATGAGAACTGTGACCCTCAAACCACATACAATGTATGATGCAACCTGTGCTTTGTCAATTGCAGCTGAATCACATAAATTCTCCTAACAGCCAATGCCCAAAGAGTGCCCCAGCATCACAAGGCCCAATCAAAGGGACTGAAGAGGGTCTCACGCAAAGCAATCCATATGTTAGCGTAGAATGCATGCTCAGCTCATTCTTGAGCTCCCTCTTCAGGACCATGTGAAGCCCACTGGCCTGCTTCGCTCCAAAACGGTGGATGCCCAAGGCCTGACGCATAGCTTTGAGCTCTCCCAGCGTTCCTTGGGCCAGTATGTCAGGCTGTGCTTCCTTTTTGCACGAGGAAGGATTTGTTCAATTTGAAACAGGAGCGTCCTGTGGCTTTGGCATGCCGTAGCAGCTGTAGGGTTGGGGGTTCCCACTTAAGTGGCAGGCAGGATGGATTTGGGAGTTTCGAGTTCCGGAAACTACCACCATCATCCCACCATCGACAATCAGTCGGTTTCATAGTAAAGTCTTAGTGAAGTGAGAAAGCAAAAAACTCGCTTGTCGACATCTTCTTCCCCCCTTTAACCTTTGCTAGTCAAGCACCAAGGCACTCAAGGCACGGCTCCGCACGCGGTGGCTGCCAGATAGGCACAGGGCCACGTGGCGGACCTCACAACCAAAGCACGTTCAGGCTGCTCAGGACTACCTGATGGATCCTAAGAGCCTTGCCAGAATCCCTAAGCTGCTGGAACGGGAGGGCATTCGAACGGACGGCTTTTGTCTGTTGACCGACGCCGATGGGGGGTTTTCGACCAAACAGTTTCGACACCAAAGCCGATGCCTGGGCTTCCCAACCACCAAATCCTTATGGGATGGGCTGATGTTGGGGCCTCAATCACTGCCATCGCACTCGTCGGTGTATTAGATACAGTAAGTGCTTCTTTTCAATGACGGTCGAAGAAAGGCCAAGAGCAATGGTCATTATATAGTAAATATACCACAAGTCCCTCGCTCCGTGGCAGGGGTATAGTAGAGCTGATGATTCTTCCACCTGGACCTCGCTTCCCTCGGCCACCGAACCGACCTTGCCGAGGGCCGACAAGGCCGCCCGGACACAAACATCTTCAACTCGCTGTAGCATCTGTATCAGGCCCTGCGCAAGCCCCCAAGTGTCCAGTCAGTACGGCAAACAGCCGAATGGAAAAGCCAATGGGTGGCCGAGACGAAGGACAAAACTGTGCGGCTTGGACAAGATCTTTCAATCTCTCTTGAACTGTTCTGCTGATACCTCCGGTTCAAGTGCCCATTACAAGATCCCTTGAGCACCAATCCTCTCCTCTTCGTGTCCTTCAGCGCCCGCAGCCGCCAAAAGCTCGGCTGCAGTCGAGGCCACTTCCGCGTCCTGGTGCCTGACATCCAAAGCGATTCAAGCTCTTTCAGTTTGAACCTATACAAACTCACAAACTCACTTGACACGTTGTATTCTTGCCTATCATCGTTCCGGCACGGTTGTCAGGCTTGATGTCACTTGTGGTCGGTTCAGAGTTGTAATTTGGACCCGTGAGCAATGATGCAGGGGAGCTTCTCAGCGAAGGTGGTGTCAGGATTGCTGCGGAACCTTAAGGCTGAAGGAGGTGGACGAAAAGTCGCAAGCCACTGCATGCGAGTGCAAAGGTGTGTCTTGTGGCTACCGTGCGTCTAAGTGAAGAGATGGACCAAGGAATGCATGGAGGAATCTACTCGGGGCAACGTAGCAATGTGGTGCACACTCGCCTGATGATCTGATCTGGCAAGCGGTCAGGCCATGATGAAACGCTATTCCACTTAACAATGGGATACTGTTTCATCACAATATGATGTGGTGTGGCAAATGCATGTATAGTATGTGTGTGTCCTTTCAACTGACCGTTTCCCCCCGTGTAACACTCATTATATAAATTGCACGGCAACGTTCACCCGATCATTAGACCGACTAAAAGGGTCGTCTTTTGTTTCGTGGCGTGACTCGTGTGGTGCTGGCGTACAACTATCGTGGTGCACGGTCAATAAATGATGTGTACCTTTCACATACGATGCATTCAAAAGCCTCATCATGTGGGACGTTATGTGCTGATATTTCACTATGTGATGCGGGAAGTCGAATGATGTGGTGCATTGCTACTCGTTGAAGTGATCGAAGTCGCCCGTTAATTCGACTCCTTCGGGAACCAAATTAAGCCCACCAGCATGGGTCAAAGCGGGAAGGCCCTTCCCTCCATGAACCGACAAAATCGGGAACTCAATGGAATGCACACGCTTCATCAGCCTCATGCTACCCTTTTCTGGCCTCAGCAAGCGGCCAACGTGCTCCAGGACCTCGGCTGGGTGGGCTTCGCAGTGTTCAGATCTTGTTTTTGGGTGAAATGGGTGTGGTTCCGAGATCGGAGTCACATTCAGCAAATGTGATAGAAAATATCACAAGTGTTTGCGAGTGATAATGAAAGTGCTGATTATGCGTAATACTAAAGTGTGGCATGCATGCTACCATCCTTGTCTGAAAGACACAAGAATAGCGTGGAGGTTTATCCAACATCTGCCACATACTCGGCAGCAGCGCGAGAAGGTGTTCATCTCTGGTGACCACGATAGATGGATGATCAATGACAAACTCCGACCATCTCCGACCCACAGCCTGGAGTGACTCTATGGTGGCTTTGCCAGCACAGATCAGGAGGTGCAAGACTGGCAACACCTCTTCCTGCACCCGAAGAGTTGCTCAGCAAAATTTGGGCGTGCGGCATACGCGATCTCATTTCGCCACACATCACGTTGGAATTGGCAACGCAGGAAAGTTGAAAGCAACAAACGGACATTGAAAGCCTCGGCAATCAACCAGGGGGCCTTGTTGCCACTGCGAAGTACCGCAGCAATGTTGTCACGGTCAAGACCTGGGGATGCCTCAATGCAAGAAGGCGCAACGACTGCGCCCACTACAAAGGAGGAAGCACTATCGTCTCTATCGTCTCATGGCGGGAAAAGAAGGACTGTCTACTTGCCAAACTGCCATGTTTTTCAATCGACTGGGAAGCTTGCAGCAGCTAATTGAACAAGCAACCAGCCAAAGGAACAGCTGCCAGAAGGGGGTCTGTGACATGGTCTGTAGTAAAGCAATACCAATGTTCAAGACTGGTTTCACAAAAATTCTTGGCACATTGCATGTTGATGCATGTTGTCGGTCAAGAAGAACCAGGGCACGACTCGACCTTGGTGTGAAAGCAGCTGACAAAAGCATCACAAATGCTAAGCAATCATCCCCACTAAGCACGTATGAAACCTTCGATTGCCGTCATTTTCGGCGCAAATTCTCTTCAATCCAAGTCATAGTGTATTCAGTGTATTCCAAATCAAGGATGGGACACCCTACTTGTTGGGTGTGATAGCAATCACTCCCTTCATATGCAATGGACAGTCCTGTTTACCAACACACAGTAATTAAACCATATCGAATCAAGTGTGCCTCCTTAAATGGTGCGCTCTATACAGGCTGATTTCTGTGGAAGCAACAGAACCTCTTGCGGCACCACAATTGGTCAGGCAAAGAGTCTTTGCGACTCTTGAATGATTCTGATGTGCTGCTTGATCAAATCAATACCAGCAACTGAGTCTCTAACAGCCCTCGGAAAATGGAATACAACTCATGAAGTATGTTGAATCTACCAATGGTTCATATATCAACAGGTTCCAGGCAATCTCCAAAATTCATCGGGATGCAGGGTGATGACTCACTCAACAAACCAAGTTAAGTGGCCAACCCAATCAGATGAAAATGGCAGAAGCGGATCGGTTTTGGTGATGTTTTCGGCAAACTCTGCGAACCGTGCGACTGGACTTGCGACCAAGGTGCTTTTCTTCACGGAAAAGTGCTGCTCGTTTCAAGCCCTTGGGCTTCCATGGACGAAGCAACTGGCTTTCACAAATCATTTCAATATGTTTCAATCTCACGCGATATTAACAGGATTCAGATAGAAATAAATTGAGTGTAGGATAGTGTATATAGGTTATACAATATATAGTGGTCACTCCGGCTTCCTATGCGGTGAACCTGAGGTCGCTTAGCTCAGCTGAGAGACAGATTGCATCATCTGACTTCAGAAACATGGATTTGGCTGACTGTATGTGCTGGAGCCGCGGATACATGCCTCATCTCACACGAAAACCCTGCAGCGTCAATCCCTTGCTCAAAGCAAATAGATTCGGCCGGATGTTCAGGGCCAAACGGAATCCTGCAATGATATTGGCGATTAAAAGCGTGCTGTATCAACATGGCTTTGTGGCTTGGTTTTGATCCTCTCATCATAGACAAAAAAATACCTCCAGTGTTCGCTCCAAATGAAGCACTGGTCAATGATTGCTATGGAGTGTGCATCCTGAGGTGGACGACCCATTGGCAACCCACTCCACTTCCGAACTTGCTCCCGAGGCCCTTAGCAAATTTGTGTAAGTTTATACAAGCTCGTTGTGTAATACCACGCCCGGCACACCGCCTTGCAAAAGAATTCAGGCTTGGGCGTGCGCGGGTTTTCGTGTTCCAGTCCCAGTCTTTCTGAATGGTACAGTTGGATCTTCTGCATTGATATGGGGCTGGATACCGAAAAACGCCGCTGGAGACTGGAGAGGGTGGGGAGCACTCCTGGTGCCGCCATGACAATCAATCTCGCAGCGCAGCATCATGGCAACAGAAAAGCGAAAGAACCCAAACATATCCAAACATACAAGAATGAAAGCAAAACACACCTTGCAGGCAAACTCATAGGCCTCTTGAGTGGGCCATCACGAACAAACATTGGCGTTGAGCCGAGAAGCAGGATTCTCGTCATTTTGTTGAGCTCGCCATTTTTCAATGATTCGACTGTTCTTCCTTCCTGTACAGAAGGGAAGGATCCCATCAAATCTTCGGTCCCTAAGATCTGGTTCCAACAGCATCGCTGTCCATACCAGGAATCTGAGCGCCCAGGTCACAGGAGGCCTCGGCATGGTGGCCATGTTATAGGTTGCTCGAAGTCCGTCTGGCATAGGTTGCCTTCCTGCAGTTGGTGGTCCCCGAAGTTTGGAAGCCCAAGGTCAAAACATCTCGGGTGCGCTGACGTGCCCCAACCTCCTAAGCAACCATACAGTGCAAACCCAGGGTTTGCTTGTGAGTCAAAACGAGTCAGCCATAAGGTTTTACATAGATTGACCTCGGTCCATCTACAAGGCTACGACTGTTCGTGGCAAACAATAAAAAGCTGTCCCAAACTGCCAAACCCATGATGAAAGCAGAGTTTGAGATTGTCCACCAAGAGCAAAAGCCACATCATGCTTCGCAAGTCGTCATATCTTATAGGGACCGCACCACTCGTGTCTTTCACTTCTTCAAACCTGGCCCCACATCAACCGTCCTCCCGTCCTCCCGTCCTCCACCCAGAACACTTCCATCACTTCAGGGCCCACGCTGTGAGCGGGACTCGGTTCGCTCCGGACCGTCAGGAGGAGCCACTCTTCCGCGCCATCATCTGCGCCTTGGCGGATCAAGATGGCTCAAGGTCAAAGCCAAGGATTGTCGAGTTCGAGGATCTTTGCAGGGAACACGTGATCAACGGGGTGGCACTCCCCAGTCCCACTCACAAGGACAGAAAGTTCATGAAAGTTCTCAAAGTTCACACAAAACCCATAGACAATGGACGGTGAGCATCAGCGCTTGCAAAGGAGTTCATCTCTTGCTCGCCTACTGTCCTGTGAACTTGAGAGGAGGGAGACACGAAAGGTAGGACAGCGGGAAGAGAAGAGAACGCGAGAGGCAGGAACAAAAATGCAATGTTCGACATGGTGATTTATCCCCTCGGAGGCGACCTTTAGTAAATATATGTTCATTTGCACTCTAAATGTTCAAACATATGCTCTCGAAATGTTCAAACAGATTCTTAGGAAAACAAACTTGCCCCATGGCTCAGATCATCGGTGAGCATTGAATCGGAACATCATAGGATTTGAACTATCCTGAAACCATAAGAGGCTCACGAAGACGCTCCCCAGGAGAGAATTGACGTGCTTCACAAAACAAACTCTAGGTATGTATCCCCTC